TACTTCTTCTGTGGCAGTTGCCACTTGGCTCAATAAAATTGTAAAATAATTTCTTTCAGGTACAAAGCTCAGGGGATAAGTGCAAAGAAATCCATTGACTCCACGTTCTACCTTCTGCTAGATTTAATCACGTTTTTTGATGAGTATCACGCCGGTCACATTGACAGGGCCTTTGATGTAAGTTTAAAGAGTTCTGTTTGAAGTGCAGCCTTACTAATGCCCTTGAAAGCCCAGGATGTCTCATAACGTCACTTAAAATAAAAACTTGCATTTAATGAGTAGAAGGTACTGCAATGCTGTAGGAATTTAAAAATGTATTTCTTGTTGTTTAACAATCAGGGAGATCTTTCTGGAGGTATTTTGTAGTCCTTGAACAAATGATTTCTCCCACTGAGCCAAGTGTAGAGATAAACCAATAAGTAACAATGAAAAGATTCCTCTGGAACGGAATTGGGAGCGTTTCGTTAACACTTCAAAAGGGTACTTTAATAGTATATAGTGTATAGAGCATTGATGATCTGCCCTGATTTCTGCTTTTCCTTTTGAAGATCATTGAGCGCCTGAAGCTTGTACCTCTTAGCCAGGATTGCGTGGAGGAGAGAGTTGCTGCCTTCAGGAATTTCAGTGATGAAGTAAGTAATGCCTCTTGTTTTTTAGCTCCCAGAACGCTTTTCCCTTGTTGAAAGTATCTTAAAACCTCATAATCTCATAATTCTTATTCTTTAAAGGGAAATAGGATGGAATTATTTTGCATTCATGCAAGTAGTCTCTTGGCTTGCAGCTCTTTCCTCGTAATGCTGCTCTTTGGAGCACTACAATTCATGCTCAGAAATCTTATCTCCACTTTGCAGAACGAGCCTGCAGATCTGGCTTGTTCTGAACTTGCTGAGTTAGATTCACCTCTGTAGTACAGTACCTAGGTTCTGATGCTGATGACTGCCTCTGCTTTCCAAATCTGATTTATTGTACATCACACTAAATTGAGAGAAGCTCTGCTACAAACTTCTCTCATCTGGAAAATGAGTTGGAGAATGTCAGGCAAAGCAGCAGCAGCCTAAGAGAGAGCAACTGTGCAAAGTAAAGGCTTGCTGTCAGCTCTTCTGGTTTGCTTGTGTGTAGCAATGAGTGCGTACTGGTGACTGTGAGCAGGACGTACTTTCTGGGAGGTGCTGCTGGAAACCTTGGGAATTGTCTTCTTAGGGCTGCTGATGGCATCGTGGTTTTTTTTTTTCTTTTCTCAACATTACATTTCCTTGATTATATACCAGAAAACAAAGCCTTTCACCCGTACTGTTCTGAGTGCTCTTTTACCACCTGAGTGGAAGTCCATTGCTGCCTGTGGATTGTTTTTACTGGAAGGCAGCCCTTCTTTTAGATGACATTTGTTTATATTTGGGTGTTCTGGGATGTTTTGTGTGCATCTGCTGCTTCAGGTTGCATATGCACTGCTGCTTCAAACTTGAAGATGTAGCTGTTCTGCATGTGTGTCCCAAGACCATGCTGTCATGGCAGGGGTAGCCATTCATACATGGCCGTTACTGGGGTGGGTATCAGTCATAGCTCTCTTGGTTTCTTGATGTCAGTGGGCAAAGCTAATGATTCTGTCAACCTGCTTTATTTTGCAATGCATCTTCTCTTTTTCCCCCCTTTGTACAGATCAGGCACAATCTATCTGAGGTACTGCTTGCAACCATGAATATTTTATTCACCCAGTACAAGCGGATGAAAGGCACAAGTCCTGCCACTCCTGCCAGGCCCCAGCGGGTAATAGAGGACAGAGATTCGGTAAGATGATGCATAACCCTCACTGTCCAGCAAGTTTTCCCAGCTCCTTTTGCTCTGTCTCTCAAAGGATTGGGCTTTAACTGGATGTCTCTGCCAGCCTTTGCTCTCAAACAGCGGGCTTTTTCAGTTACTTGTCCTGAGACAAGTCTCTTGTAACTTCACCTATGTAGAAAGAAAGGATATTGTTCTAAATGTCTTGAAAATGTATTACGGTATACCTCCACCTCCTGGCCAGAAGAAATAAGCAGTCACCTTGCTAGAGGGCTCTCCAGTTATTGGCAGATGTAAACAGTGCTGTGTTTCTAGGATGGTTGATGTTGTTGGCTTAACAGCTGGGCTATTGTCAAAAACCTGATTTCCACCTCTTTCATTTGTGGCCTCTTCTTCATGCAGAAGTTATTTCTTGGGAAAGGCACATCATTCCTCTGCTTGGCTGGCTTCCATAGAGAGATGGGCAGAGACAGACAGCTTTTGGGCACTGTGGTGTTTGGTCTGGCTGCCTGGTTTAAATGGCTGACCAAGGTGGGTTTGACTTAACTGCCACACTTGGTGCTGAAGCATTTCCCCCACATGCTGATGGGAGGCACAAAAAGGGATCTTATATAACATTGCTTACGGGATGCAGACAGGTTTGTCAGCACTCTGTTAAGCTGAAGTGTGCTCAGTGTAGCTGTGTTATGGGTTCTGGTCTTGTAGTCCTTACCATCTTAGAGCTGCCACAGGTGCTTGAAAACCAAGGCTGAAGCACTCAACCTGGCTTACAGGTGAGGAAACATATCTCAGCTCCTGCTTGATGATGAGACCAGGGCCTCATCCAGCTATATTCCAGGCTCATCATCTGTGAAAGTGCCTTTCATCTGTACATTCCAATATGAATGAAAGTAGCATTTCTCAGTGCTGCTGGTTGGACCTCCCAGCTGTGGGGCACGGGGGAGCAGAGGGCACAGGGTTCATCTTGTGGAGCTTTGCTTAACTCAGGGGGACACAGGCTAGCTGCCTCTGTGAATCATAGAATCATAGAATGGCCTCGGTTGAAAAAGACAATAAAGATCATCTGGTTTCAACCCCCCTGCTGTGTGCAGGGTCCCAGCCACCAGACCAGGCTGCCCAGAGCCACATCCAGCCTGATGTCCTGTGCTCAGAGGTGTGATTGTCGTGCCAAAAGGGAACACAGAAGATAGGCTAGGAAGTAAAGCATGTTCCCTTGGTTTCTTACCCTGTGGAATTCCCTCAGCAATGTGAGAGCAAGGAGTCTAGGTTGGCCCTTGGCCTGGAAAACAGCCTGGGGGTTTTGGAGGTGGGAAGAAATGAGGGCACTTCGAACGTGGAGAGGAATGGCACCTCCAGAGCCCCTCTGTGAAAACATTTCCTATTCCATCTCAAGGATGAAATGTGCTGTACATTGAAACTTGGGTTTGAAGTCAGAGCTGGGTTTGTATGCACTTTCTTTATTTCACAGAGAAATTACCTAGGCTGTGTTTTGAGTCTTTTGATTACGTATATATTTACACATGCACACTAATTGGCTTTGGGAATGAGAGGGCAAAGCCCTGTCCTTCTTGGCCTGATGTGAGTTGTCAGACCTCAGCTAGAGGTTGCAATAAGCCCAGGCTGCAGTGCTGGCACCCATGGCATGACAGCAGCACTGTGTGCCCCACACCCTGACCCCATTGGGTGAGCAGCTCTCCAGGGCAGCCCGAGGGCATTGTCTAGGTGGCAGAATTAGGTTATGAAAGGAATGGAATTCGTTTATTTGTAGCGATTTTAAATCACAAGTGACTTTCACATTCATTAACTAATTACAGCCAATAGAACACTGAGACCTCCAGGCCGCTCTTAACCTCTGCAGACCTCCGTTCTTTCTTCCCCAAGTGCTGCTGCTTGCAACTCATCGTGGTGCTTTGATTTTTAAAAATAGATTGGCTCCAATATCATTGTTACCACAAAGGCATAGAGAACTGTAATTCACACTGCTCTGAAGCCCTGTCAGTCACAGTCACAGTTCTTGCCTCCGAATATTTAATTGGGAACCAGGCAACTTGCTATGCTGCCTTCATCTACCACCTGTTTTGATGTCCTTTGGAAAGCAGCAGGTTAGAGATGGGTGACACAACCTCTGTGAGGAGAGGAAACAACAGCAGAGAAATGCTGACTATCACTGGAACTAAAAGAGTGATTTCTAAGCAGCCTTGTGAATTAGGCAATTTGTTTGCATTAACTAGGTTGGTAACTGGGTTCTGTAACCTGTGCTGGATGCTTTCAGCCATTGGGCCAGCCTCACTTTGCAGCTCCAGATATTCACAGAATCACAGAATAGCCAGGGTTGGAAGGGACCTCAAGGATGATGAATCTCCAACCCCCTGCCACATGCAGAGCCACCAACCTCCACATTTAATGCTAGACCAGGCTGCCCAGGGCCCCATCCAACCTGGCCTTGAACACTTCCAGGGATGGACGGGGCATCCACAGCCTCTCTGGGCAGCTGTTCCAGCACCTCACCACTCTCATAGTACAGAACTTCCCCCTGACATCCAGCCTAAATCTCCCCTCCCTCAACTTCAAACCATTTCCCCTTGTCCTGCTGTTATCTACCCTTGTAAAGAGTTGATCCCCCTCCTGTCTGTAGGCTCCCTTTAGGTCCTGGAAGGCAGCAATGAGGTCACCCCACAGCCTTCTTTTCTCCAGGCTGAACAAGCCCAGCTCCCTCAGCCTGTCCTCATAGGGGAGGTGCTCCAATCCTCGTGGCCCTCCTCTGGACCCCCTCCAACAGCTCCCTGTCTTTCTTGTACTCCCTTAACCAGACAAATGAGAGTCAAAGAAAAAGGATTCCTACCTCCCCTCCATTGGGCTGTGGCATTTTTAAGTATTGAACTTTTTTATTTTTCTGTCTTGCAGCAACTGCGATCTCAAGCTCGTGCACTGATAACATTTGCTGGAATGATCCCTTACAGAACATCTGGAGACACGAATGCAAGACTGGTGCAGATGGAGGTCCTTATGAACTAGCAGAGAAGCTTTGGCTCAAGGCTCAGCAGCTGGGCCTGTTGGTAGTGCGTTTGGGGCTGGGACCAGTACCGTTTTGTATTCTGTATTTTTGTTGATGGAAATAAATTTCTTTGATTTCTATTTGTTTTTTGATATTTTCATTTTCGCTGTTTTTTTGTGTTTTTATGTGTTTGTTCATTTTTTAAAAAAATTAGTTTATATTTAGAAAATCATGCTCAGAGAGTAAGAGAAAAATCAGTTCTGCAGCCCCCTGCGCTGCTGTCCTGCCCTCACTTGGTTTGTGTTGCTGGGATATGAGAGCACATGCACTTCTGGTCACAGAGCAGGCAACAAAGCAGGGGGGGCAATTCCAACCTTTGCACACTGCCTTATTGTGGGAGACAATTAATTTCTTTGTTTTGTTTTTGTTTTTTTTCAGTATGGCTGTAAGTGTAACCTCCACTAGGGGATGTTTGACCAACTTCCTAACTACCTTTCTACCAAAACTAGTGTGGTGTGAATTTAGATGAACTTTTGGACAGGAAGCAAAGAGCCAGCTTGCCATCCCCCCAAGGATATGTATGAACAGCTGGGGGCTGCTGGGGGTCCTGGCAGTTCCATTGGGGTCTGCATGTGGCACCGGGCACTTCTGCAGCACAGTGAAGGTTGGAGCAGCTTGGAGGATGGTGATGTGGGGAGCCCTGAAGCCAGACTGCGTTGTGCAGTGTGTCCTTTCTCCTGGCTGTGTGTCCTCAGGCAGCCTCTGACCCGAGCAGAGGGGCAGCACTACTTCAGAAAGGCTGTTGTCGTTCCCTGCTCTGCTGTGCTGCTCACTGACATGCTCATTTCCAGCCTTACACCTGATGACCTTTGAGGAAGGCTGTGATGCCAGTCCTGCTGGCCCTTCCAGGCTGAGCAACTGCTGATGTGTTCCATGCTTTGTTCTGAAAGCCAGGAAGACCCCTCTGTGCTGTGCTGCAGCCGCAGGGATCCAAAGGCCTGTGCTGCAAGTTAAGGCCCAGCACTGCTCCGTGCAAGATGCGAGGTGCTGAGGGATGGACAGAAGTACTGTGGGTAATTGGAGTATTTAGCTACTGATTGCCCTGTGCTTTCTTCTCATGTCTGTGCAGGTGGTGACTTGCAGCACACCATCCTCCCATGCTCTTCTTCTTCTGGAGAGAACTACCTCCCTCCTGTGTCCGACCACCAGGCGTTCTGCTGCAGGGTTGGTAACCTCAGTGCCTTCCTGCCCTGACTTTGTTAGTGGGCAGCCTCCACCTTGGCTTTCTGTGGGTTTTGGGGATGTTATGAATTGATGTATTGTTCAGAGCAGCCTATTGGAAGGCGTTGTCACTGCCCATTCTGACGGGAGGAGAGCTTCCTTTGTAATGTCAGGCCATCGAGAGCAACCTTAATTTCCTACATGCAATTACTGTGAGCAGACTTTCCTCGTGCCCTCTCCCATGCTGCTGTCATCCATGCCCCGGTGGGGCTGTGTGATGGCTGGGAGCACAGGCTGCTCTGCTCTTGGGGGCTCTCTTCACCCTGATGGTTCCAGCTCCTTTGGGCCCATTGGTGTGAGCAGCTGCTTGGCCACCTCACGGTGGGCAGTGCTGGTGGCTGCTGATTCCCAGCCCGGTACGATGAGGATGTGACTTTGCTCCCTTTGTGTAAAGTGAATTTAGGATCACTTGCTGATTTCCTTTGCAGGGGCTGAAGTGCCAGCAAGCACACTGCTGTCTGTCCCCAACAACCCCAGGCTTCAGCGAACCACAGTGCTTTGCCTGCAAGCCTACAGCTGTCTGTGTGCTGGCATCTGTCCATTGTGGGATGGAGGCCAGATGGGGTGACGGGGTGCAGCAATGTGGGAGCAGTGATAACCATCTCTCTTCTCTTTGCAGGTTCCTTCCCTGCAGGTGAGGGCTCAGTCCTGCCCTGCAGCGCTCAGTCCCAGTCCCACTTTGGGCAGCAGTGCCCAGGGTGCTGGGCTTCCCCTGAGGAAGGAAGCGGGGCGGTTAAAGCTTCCCTAAGGGCTGCAGGGGTCTCTGCTTTGACAGACGTTAACAGAGTCTCCCTGTGGAGTACTGAGCTGCTCTCCACGTACCGGATTAAGGTTGGTTGGACGTGTTTAATGGCCACAACAGGCACAGAGCATTCCTCATCTGCCTGCAGCCCCTGCGACGCCGCGGGACGGCCGGGTATTGTTGCTGCAGCTGGTGTTGTGAATCAGGCCGACGGCAAGCGCTTCCTACTATCCGGCTATTTCACTACACCAGGGTTGCATCATACCACTTCCTTCACCCGCCTCCTGGAGCCTCCGTGCCTCTCCTGGAGCATCTTGCTGCTGCGCCTGGCCTCTCATTTGTGAGAGGCTCTGATTTCTGCTGTCTGGGGCAAGTCGGTGTTTTCTGATGGGATAATGAGGTTCTAAAATAAAGCTGTGGCTTCGAGGCATCGGTGTGGTGCTGTTTGTGTTGGTGGAAGCTGATGCCCATGTTGCAGGAATGGGTGAGGTGGGACGGAGGACGGTGTCTGTGCGTGCACACAGTGCGTGAGGAGCAGAGTGAGTCCTCAGAGAGCAGATTGAAATGTTTGTGCAAGTGCAAAGGGCCACCAGAGGCAGTGGCTGGACAACCCACATTTTCCATTAACTCGCAAAGTGAGCGGACTGAATTTGCAATGGGCTGCAGCGTTGCCCTCAGATTTTATTACCTGCCCTGTTAGCTGTCTTCCACGATGTTATCTGTTGCACATTTAAGTGCATGTGTGACATTGAGCCCTGTGCGAAAGCCACCCATCCCTCTGTTTGGGGCGGGGGTCTTCTCCACCCCAGGGCTTCCAGTTCCTCTCTCCTTTGGGTTCAGCTCCTGGCACAGCTCAGCTCCTCTGGCAGTGATGCCGCTGTGGTTTGTGGGATCTGCCGGGGCAGTGCTGCAGGGAAGGAGCAGAGGAGCACAGCGCTGAGCTCACCTCCAGCCCCCGCCTGGGAACATTCAGTTCCCACCCAGATTTGTTATGGAAAACCGCCGCATTTCTCTGTAGCTCTGTCCTTGGGCCTTAATCTCAAATCCGTTATCAGTGCCGCGATCGGGCACTGGCAGCCACTGATGCTGATAACAGCAGTTTTGATACCCCCTCCAGCTATTTTTTCCCCCTGACCAGCTTGGGGTGGTTCCAGCCACTCGGACACCCCCAGGCACTGTGGGGCCGTGCTTGGCTCTGCTGGGTATAAATCCCCAACCCCAGCACTACAAAGCGGGACTCGTGCAGCCACCATGGCTGAGCTGCCGTGTGCTGAGCCCCTGCCGCGCTGCAGCGGCCGCTTCACCATCAGCACACTGCTGGGTGCTGAGGAGGCGGCGGGCTGCGAGGGCACACAGCTCTCGGGTAGCTCGCTCTGCACCAGGACCTTTGGCTACAACACGGTGGATGTGGTGCCCGCCTATGAGCACTACGCCAACAGCAGGGGGGTGGGTGAGGCCGGACGGGGAAGGCCGTCGCTGGCGGACCTCCACTCCATCCTCAAGGTAAGGCCTCGGTGCAGGGGCTGCTGGCCACACTTGTGCCGGTGTGGCTCTGTCCTCAGCCCCATCTCTGTCCCACAGCCCGACCCCAGCCACCTCCGTGTGCCACTGCCTGACCCACAGCGCAGCAACGGCCTTCCTGACGCCGAGGAGGGGGCTGGCGAGCCAAGCAGTGCCCCTGCACCAGAGCCTGTCCGCTTCGGGTGGGTGAAGGGTGTGATGGTGAGTGCCCTGCGTCCCAGTGGTCAACCACAGCATCTTTACATTTTTCCCAATTGGGGTGAGAGGCGATGGCTTCATGTTGTGCCAGAGGAAGTTCAGGTGGAATTTTGGGAACAATTTCTGCTCCAAAAAAGCAGTAGGGCAGTGGCACAGCTGCCCATTCCCCTCCTTGGAGTTGTCCCAGAGCTGCAGGGATGTGGCACTGAGGGATGTGGGCAGTGGGCTTAGTGGGGTGGGGTTGGACTTGGGGGTCTGAAAGGCCTTTCCCAGTCTTAAAGGTTCTGTGATTGTTTGGTTTAGCATTCATTGACAGTTGGACCGGATGACCATAGAGGTACTTTCCAGTGCCTATGATTCTGTTTTTCACAACTGCCCACCTGGAGCTGTTCCCCATCCCTTCCTGGTGCCCTGTTGTTAGCTGGGGGCCAGCAGACCCAGCATGGCTCTGCCTGTCCTCAGGTGCCCACCCGCACTCACAGCCGTGTTCCCGTTGCCCTGCAGATCCGCTGCATGCTGAACATCTGGGGTGTGATCCTCTACCTGCGCCTGCCCTGGATCACAGCTCAGGCAGGAATCGGTGGGTGCCCGTGGGGGATGATGGCAGCAGGCACGGGGTGGAGGCGGTGGGGGCTGCCAGCAGCGCTCAGCCCGGTGGGTGCAATCCATCCTCTCCTGCAGCCCTGACGTGGCTCATCATCCTGATGTCTGTGACCGTGACCACCATCACCGGCTTGTCCATCTCTGCCATTTCTACCAATGGCAAAGTCAAGTCAGGTAGTGCTTCCCTGCCAGGTCCCTCGCAGCACTCCTGGGGCGACTGCACCCAAACCTTCTCCATGGGGTTTCTGTGCCACAGGGGGCACCTACTTCCTCATTTCGAGGAGCCTGGGACCGGAGCTGGGCGGCTCCATCGGCCTCATCTTTGCCTTCGCCAACGCGGTGGCCGTGGCCATGCACACAGTGGGCTTTGCTGAAACTGTGCGGGATCTGCTGCAGGTGAGGATGCAGCCCTGCACCTCCGGTCCCCAAACCCAGCTGCACCCCTCCTGCCCAAGCAGAGCTCATCATCAATACCTGCGTTAACGCCGCACCGCCGATAATCAGCCGCCAGCTCCTCCATCTCGCGGACGTGGCGGCGGTTGGCTGAGGGAATTCTGTTTCCTGGTCGCTGACGCTGCCCCTTCCCCAGGAGCACGACTCCCTGATCGTGGACCCCACCAACGACATCCGCATCATCGGGGTGCTCACTGTCACCGTGCTGCTGGGCATCTCGCTGGCTGGCATGGAGTGGGAGGCGAAGGTACCGCACCCTGCTGCAGGAGGCTGGCCTGCGGCCCGGCCAAGCCTCATGCCCCTCTCTGCCCCCCCAGGCCCAGATCCTGTTCTTTTTGGTCATCCTGGTGTCCTTCATAAACTACCTGGTGGGGACGGTGATCCCGGCCAGTGCCGAGAAACAAGCAAAGGGCTTCTTCAGCTACAGAGGTGGGTTCACCATGGGATGGACCATGACTAAGAGTGACAGTGAGAGCTGGCGTTGCGTTCTGGCAGCGGTTTGCCTCCATCCAGCGCTGCAATGTCGGAGCTGGAAGAGGTGGTGGGAGCACCAGGTGGATGGGGAAACTTCTCTGCTTCCTCCTCAGCTGACATTTTTGCCCAGAACTTCGTGCCCGACTGGCGCGGACCTGAGGGCTCCTTCTTTGGTTTGTTCTCCATTTTCTTCCCATCGGCAACTGGTATCTTGGCCGGAGCCAATATCTCTGGTGACCTGAAGGTAGGTTTTTGCCAGCCCTCCCTGAGCTGTTGCTTCTCAGGATGGGGAACTGGGGGCCCCTGAAACTCAGATGGCACAAAACCATCGCTGGGGGCCCCTGGAAAGCAGCTGTGCATCTCCCTGCGACCCCCTTGGACAGGACCCTGCCGTGGCCATCCCCAAGGGCACCTTGATGGCCATCTTCTGGACCACAGTGTCCTACCTGGTGCTGTCAGCTACGATAGGTGAGTGCAGCGGGCTGAGGCCCCACGAAGCAGGGTGGTGGGCAGCAGGAGCAGCACCCCTGTCTTTGGAGGTGATGCAGGAGCAAAGCGTGCACATAGCTGTGCCCCACAGGTGCCTGCGTGCTTCGGGACGCCTCGGGCAGCCTGAATGACAGCATGGCAGTGGGCGCACCGGGCTGTGAGGGACTGGGCTGCAGCTATGGCTGGAACTTCACTGACTGTGCCCAGCGGCAGAGCTGCCGATACGGCCTCAGCAACTACTACCAGGTGTGCCTGGGGATTCAGGCTCTGCAACGTGTGTGGAGAGCTCCTCCTGCTTGGGTTTTCAGATGTGGCTGAACGTCACCACCTGGATAATGTTAATGGAAAAAACGAGGGCGGTGGGATGGGGTAAGGTGCAGGGTGATGTGCTGCCAGCATGGAGCGTCCTGACCACTGGGTTTTTGGGCAGAGCATGAGCATGGTGTCGGGATTCGGTCCCCTCATCACAGCTGGGATCTTTGGTGCCACCCTCTCCTCAGCGCTGGCCTGCCTCGTCTCAGCCCCCAAAGTTTTCCAAGTGAGCGCAGATCCCTGTCCCTCTCCCTGTCTGTGTCCCCAGGTGACAGGACAGGACATCCCCACACCTCTCACCCCTTTCTCCCCATAGTGCCTCTGCAAGGACGAGCTCTACCCTCTCATAGGCTTCTTTGGGAAGGGCTATGGGAAGAACAGCGAGCCTATCCGTGGCTACCTGCTCACCTACGTGATTGCCATTGGCTTCATCCTCATCGGTGGGTGCCTCCAGCCGTGCCTGGATGGCTCGGCCGCGGCGCACCACTGATGCTCTGCCCTGTCCTCCTGCAGCCGAGCTCAATGCCATCGCCCCCATCATCTCCAACTTCTTCCTCTGCTCCTATGCGCTCATCAACTTCAGCTGCTTCCATGCTTCCATCACCAACTCCCCAGGTGGGTGCCAGCCCCAACCCCTGCCCCATCCTGGCTGTGGGGTGAGGGGAGCCGGCGGCAGCCGCTGTCTGTGTTTGCGTGCAGGCTGGCGACCCTCCTTTCGGTATTACAGCAAGTGGGCTGCACTCTTTGGTGCCGCAATCTCAGTGGTCATCATGTTCCTGCTGACCTGGTGGGCAGCCCTCATCGCCCTCGGCATCGTCGTCTTCCTCCTGGGCTATGTCCTCTACAAGAAACCAGGTGTGTGGTGGCTCTGGAGAGGGTCTCACATCCCCAGAGCTGTTTGTGCCCATTGCCAATCCATCTCTTCCACACAGATGTCAACTGGGGCTCCTCCATGCAAGCCAGCTCCTACAACCTGGCACTGAGCTATTCAGTAGGGCTCAGCGAGGTGGATGAGCACATCAAGAACTACAGGCAAGGGCGCTGAGATTGGAGCTGGGAGGGAGGGGAACAGAGCTGATTCCCCACAGAGCCAAAATGGGGTAGTGCCCACGGCCACGTCCTCAGTGCTGATGAATCACAGAGTGGGGCAGCTGCACCCCAAACCCCACGTTCTCTCTGCCACGTGGTAAGGCCACCCTCAGATTCTGTCCTCTCCTTCCCATCAGGCCGCAGTGCCTGGTCCTGACCGGGCCGCCCAACTTCCGCCCAGCGCTGGTGGACTTCGTGGGCACCTTCACCAAGAACCTCAGCCTGATGATCTGCGGCAACGTGCTGATCGTGAGTGTGGCCGCAGGGTGCCCTGCAGCTGGATTCTGCACCCTGCAGGCATCCCAAAGAAGGAAAATAATCAGGCCACATCGTGCTCCTTTGGTTCCCTATCTTGGGTAACCAGTGGTCCACAGGTGGTAGAGCACCAGTGTTGCTGTCACCAGCACACATCACTGGGGAACCAGTGGAGTTGAGGCTGATAAATCAAAATCTGCCATTTTTTGGTGCAACAGCAATTCCCCATGCATGCCGCGCTTATTAAAATCCAGCTTCTGCCAATCCAGCTTTAAATCCAGCTTCTGCCAATAGCTGGGGCAAGGGGAGCTGGAGTTCTGTGGTGCCAGAGCATGGGATGGGGACAGGGACAGCGGCCACCCGGCCAATGGGCCGCGTCCCTCCCTGCTCCCCCAGGGCCCCCGCAAGCAGAAGGTGCCCGAGGCCTGGCAGGCATCGGATGGCCACACCAGGTGGCTCCTCAAGAGGAAGATCAAGGCCTTCTACACCCATGTGCTCGCTGAAGACCTGAGGAGTGGCGTCCAGATGCTGCTGCAGGTGGGGCCAAGCTGACCATTGCAGCCCCTGCTTGGGGCACACGGTGCCAGCTGGGTGAGCGCCTCAAGCAGGAATCTGTTGCTCCCATTGCTTTTCCTGAAGGCCGCCGGCCTGGGGAAGATGAGACCCAACATTGTCGCGCTGGGCTACAAGAGGGACTGGCAGGCAGCTGCACCACAGAGCCTGGAGGATTACGTGGGCATCCTGCAGTACGCGCTGCGCCGGCACCTGGCGGCTCCGTGCGCCTCTCTGAGCCAGGCAGTGGCGTCATGCTGTTGTGTTGTCCCCACCTCATGGGGGTCTGAATGGGGGGGGACCACCACCGTCAGCTGCCTCCTCCCTCCTTCCAGCGATGCCTTTGATTTCAAGCACGGCGTGTGCCTGCTGCGGCTGCGGGAAGGCCTGAACGTTTCCCGAGTTCCACAAGCCCACAGTAAGTGCTGTGGACCATCCTTGTGATGGGGGCTGGTACCCTGAAACCAGGGCAGGACGTGTCCGTGCTTCTCTCCCTCCACAGCTAACCCTGCATTTGGGGCAGCAGAGCGTCCTGATGGGAACGGCACCGGCAGCAGGGCAGCGCCCAGCACAGGCATCGGTCAGTGAACATCGGGGATGTCCAGAGCCTCCTGCAGCCTTGGGATCCACTCTGGGGAGCTGGGTTCATGCACGGGGCATGGATGCAGGGGTTGGGGGTTCAGCTTGGGAAGATGGTTCTGTTTGCCACTGTAACAGTGGTGCTGCAGGGTGGTGCCATGCTGATGCCTGCATTTTCCTTCACAGTAGACCCTGAGCAGCAGGCGAGCACCATCTTCCAGAGCCAGCAGGGCAAGAAAACCATCGACATTTACTGGCTCTTTGATGATGGAGGTAGGCCCTGCCTCGTGCTGCAGCACCACACAGCACAGGAGGATGGGAGGGCACTAAAAATACCGTGGCTGCATCCTGCAGGGCTCACACTGCTCATCCCCTACCTCCTCGGCCGCAAGAAGCGATGGGGAAAATGCAAGATCCGGGTGTTTGTTGGCGGGCAGATCAACAGGATGGACGAGGAGAGGAAGGCGTACGTGGCAGTGCAAAACGTGCACGGGTGTCCCGGCTCAGCAGCTGGTCGCTGAGCTCTGGGAACTGTCCCTCTCTCTGTGACAGGATCGTGTCCCTGCTGAGCAAATTCCGCCTGGGTTTCCACGAGGTCCACGTCCTGCCTGACATCAACCAGCAGCCCCGGCCGGAGCAGTAAACAAACCCCCTGCCCACACAGTCCTGCCTGAGCCACAGCTCTGCACACAGCACAGATCCCTGCTTTCAGCCCCACGGCTCCCATTCCCTCGCAGCAGGATGGGGAGCACGCCGTGCCCCGTCCCAGCGCGGTGTCCTTGCCTTGCAGCATCAGGAGGTTCGACGAGCTGATTGCGCCCTTCAGGCTGAACGACGGCTTCAAGGACGAGGCGGCGGTGAATGAGCTGCGGCACGGCTGCCCCTGGAAGATCTCCGATGAGGAGGTGCACAGGCACAGAGCCAAGGTAGCGCCGGGACAGCCTGCAGGGGGCCTCCTGCTTTTAAGTTAGGAACGTGTGGTTTTGGTCTCCTAAACCTTCACCACCCGCTCCGCAGTCGCTCCGACAAGTGAGGCTCAATGAGATTCTGCTGGATTACTCGCGGGATGCGGCGCTCATCGCCATGTAGGTGTCAGCACCCCCAGTCCTGTTCCTTGTAGGGCAGGAATGGTCCCTTCGGGTTCTGGACACCCCACAGCCGGTGGGATGGGGCAGCACAGCCTCACCCAGGGGGAAGGCACCAAGGAAGGGGTCCGGCCCCAGGGGCAGGACGCGGTGGTTCCCTGTTTTTAGGAAGAAATCTGTGAGCTGATGCCAGGAGATGCTTCCTGACACAGCCCCGTCTCGTGGCCGCAGCACGCTGCCCATCGGCAGGAAGGGGCGCTGCCCCAGCTCCCTCTACATGGCCTGGCTCGAGACGCTCTCGCAGGACCTGAGACCCCCGGTCATCCTGATCAGAGGGAACCAAGAGAACGTTCTGACCTTTTACTGCCAATAAAGCCTCCTGCACCCCCACCACATGAATTCTTCAGGCTGCATTTGGGCGATTCAAGGGGGTTTGGGACAGTACTGAATGTGTGGGGTTCACAGCAGTGCCCAAAGCACGCAGCTGCTGTGCTGTTAGAAAAGCTTGTTTGGCTGATTTTGGTCCTGGGAGGTTATTACAGATACAAAATAACACCAGTACCGCCTGTACAGTGGGGTTTGCTGGAGCCGTGCAGGTGTGGTATGGGCTCCCAAGGCTGAGCTGTGCCCCATCTTCAGAGTGCCAGGGGACAGCCTTGGACAATGCCATATTCCCCAGCCAAGAACCAGCCCACAGGGCTGCAATGGGGCTGTGGGGCTCCAAGGCAGCAAAACTCGCCCCACACATGGCAAAAGTGAGTGTGGTTTCCAAAAGCCCCATGCTGACATCCTTGTTGCCCCACATCGCCCCCCAGGAGAAACGTGCAACTCCATTCACCTCGATCATCACAGCATTTACTGATCATCGCCCCCAGGATTAGAAGTATCAGTAGAAAAATAAAATGTACACAGCTTTCTATCATACAAAGATTTGTTCATGACAGCTGCACTCGGTAACGAGCCACAAAGTCAGGGCCATACCCAAGCAGAGCAGCACACAGGAAGCTGGGAGGCGAATCAAGACCTGCTCAAGCAGTGACTTTCTCAGGTCAGAAGGGCTGTCTGGATGGGGCTCACAGCCCTGCCCACCAGGACACCTCAGCATTTCCATTTTTGGAAGTTATTTACAGCTTTTGACAAGGTTACACTGCAGTACAGCAGGAACTGCTCTTCTCCCAGCAATGCCCAGGATTTATTTCCAGCCTGTTGCAACAGCTTTCAGCGTTTCTGAATTCCAGCCTTCTGCCCAAGCAAAGCCAACAGATACCTGCTGAAAGCTCCGGGATTCCTCTGCTTGCCTCACTCCAGGTGGAGATAAAGGGAACACCCTGTACCTAAACAGATCATTATTCCTGATTTTGGTTTGGAAAGGGGGGAAAGATGCAGAGGGAGAAGCCCAACCTTCTCCCAGGCTGGTCCTCCACAAGCACAGCACAGTGCACACAGAAGGCCTCGTGCTCAACACCCATCAGGCAGTCTTAAAGCAGAGTTTACTAACAATTTGAACCTTGCCCACCTAAGGAGAAGGATTCACATTAAACTAAAACTCACTGTTTTATTCCCTGGATTAAAATGGGCTGCATTTTAAATCAATTTCATTAAAAACTCCTTAAAAACAACTCTCTCCATCTGCTGGCAAAGGACCATTCATGAGATGTCTTCGCACAGTTGGAGAATTGCTTTCATGATCAGCATAGGACCTCGACTGGGGTTGTTTCAGCACAGGGGCCATTGTGTTTGTGGCCTTAAAACAATTTGCTACAAAAGGTAAGCTGATCTGGAAAGCAGAGGATTTCTGTCACCACACAGGTGGGAAGCATGGCCTGGAGGTTGGACACAGATGGTCTCTTCCTCCAGAGGACTGTCAGCAGCTAATAGACGTGCTGTGCCACCCAGCAAAATCCTCAGCATTCAGTACCAGCTTCCTGTGGGCCCCAACATCCAGCCCAGAAAACAGATCTGAGATCCCTAATTGCACAGCACACCTCTAGAAGACAGGGCAGAGCTCAGAATTAGTTAAATATCGTTTAAACCAAACCAACGCATTAGGAGAGACTGTAGCATGGCCAAAAGGAGTTGGTCTGGGGTTATTTTTGCACAGCTCAGTGCTGACAGCTGGGAATCTCTCAGGTGCCATGGGCTGGGTGTTTAAAACACAACACATTGTCTCTATGCCCCAGAAAGCCACCAGGTTCTCACCCACATGGTCACCAAGGCAGAGTGCTGAGTTCTACATATGCCAGCTGTGGTGTCTGTACACCTGCAAAGATGCTCAGTCACACACCTATGTTCAACAAGTGAAAGGAGAGCGAGGAGTTCAACTCCACAGGTCTCCTTCAAAGCAAATGCACACATTCATGCACCCCGAGAGTTCTGCTGTGAGCAGCAGGGTGCAGCTCCAGTGCAGGAGGTACAGCTTCAGAAGAGTTTCACTGCAATTAAATTCATGAAGACTACAATCATTTTTACACTGATGATTTCCCATACCTCAGTACTCATAATCACAGCTCTCAGCCACAATTTTGCACTTTCATCCATTTAAAATGTTTCTTTTTTTTTTTTTTCTTTTGCTGCTCCCCAGTCTCACTCTGACCATGACTTGGCATAAGGAAGATGGGGCCAGAAAAGAAAACAAGAAAGGAAGATTTTCATTAAAAGAAAAAAAAAAAGAAAAAGAAAAAAAAGGAATCACATTAAAAGAGCTTTGGGTTCACTGCAAAGTGGGAAGAAGTCAAAGACTTAAGTGAGCTCTGAACACATCACACCACCTGCTGCCATATTCTCACCCCCAGCAGTTCAGTTATTCTGTTGCTACAATTTGTCACCCACAAGAGGTCAGCAAGACTCTGCCAGAGCCCTCTGCCCATCCTCCAGGAAAACAAAGTTTCACTTGGCACTTAGCGTTACAAAAACGTAACGAAATGAATGATTTTCATCTCAATTTCTGAAGCAGACTGCAGCCCCATTTAGTGGCGTGCTGTGGCCAGCAGTCAGCACCAGAGCCTGGCTGCCGGCGCTCACTCAGGGCTGGTGACACAGCTTCAGCAGTGCTGGAGGAGAACTAACTTGGATGTTATGGTTGCTATATGAGCAAGATAAGTTACAGAAAGCACGTTCTCCCCACCATGTCTGTGGCATGCAGCCCTTCAGGCCAGGCTATGCAAGGAAAATCCTGCTTCTCACAGTCAGGGAGCCCTGCCACCAGCCTGAGGCAGGAACAGCCTTCATGCAGCTTTGTAGTGGGAAGGAAACGCACGCCAAGGTGCCATCCAAGTTGTGCTCCCTCGTTACTGGCTTCACAGACACCAGGCATGCTGCAGATGCTTTGCTTCCCTTCCATTTTCAATCACCAGCATCTGAAGGAAAGCTAGAGAGTGGCCAAAATCCGCAGGAATGAAACTACCACCACACAGAACGTCTGACCCACTCCAAAAATGAGGGCTTCAAAAGGAATCATTTTTTTCCCAGCGGCTCTGTAAACTCCAGCAATAGCTGCACCTATGGAGAAGAGGAAAAGCAGAAATATTACTGTGTGATGGCAATGAGAGCCGTGCTGCTGCACTACAGGAACAAAGGGAGGGATTTAAGTGGAGGGAATGCAAGGCTCTGTGGGAGAAGGCTCTGCAGATAAGTGGGTGGAGGCAGACCCATCAGAAACTTCAGCTTGGAAGCAACACATGCAGATCAAGTATTATTAAGATTGGAAAAAAACCATTAAGATCACCTAGTCCAACCTCCCCAGCCTCACCATGCTCACTGACCACGTCTCTCAGTGCTATATGTCCATAGTTCTCGAACACCTCCAGGAACACCACCTCTCTGGGCAGCTGTACCAGTGCCTCATCACTCCTCTGGAGAAGGATTCGTTCATAATATCCAACCTGAACTTCATCTGGCACAACCTGAGACCACCACCTCTCACCCTATCACTGTCACCTGGGAGCAGAGGCTGACATCCACTCCCCACAGCCTCCTGTCAGGGCTGCAGAGCCATGAGCTCTCTCTCCCCTCAGCTCCTCTTCTCCACGCTGACCCACCCCATTCCCACAGCGCTGTGCTCAGACCCCTTGCAGCTCCGCTCCCTTCCCTGTACAGACTCCAGGACCTCCATGTCTTTCCTGCACTGAGGAGCCCAGTGCTCAGTGCAGCACTGAGGCGTGCCCCCAGCAGTGCCGTATAGAGAAACAATAGCCTCCTGCTCCTGCTGCCTGCTCTGCTGTCGTCACAAGCCAGGATGTCGCTGGGCTCCATGCCCACCTGGGCACACTGCTGGCTCAGTTCAGCAGCTTTCAGTTCACATCCCCAGATGTTTTCCTTCTGTGCACCTTTCCAGCCACCCTGCCCCAACCCCGCAGCAACGCTTGGGATGTCGGACCAACGTGCAGAATGCAACACTCGGTCCTGCTGAAGTCGGCCTCAGCCCATCCCCAGCCTACGAACCCACCGGGCCAACAGTCGGGAAAGCTCTGCTGGGCCTCGCTTCAGCCCCCCCAGCTGCCCCGCTCCCCAGAGCTGCCCTCCCAAATACCCCCCGGCCGCCCCCTACTTGTCAGGATGCCGGCGGTGATGGGTCCCACGATGCCCATCAGCAGGAGGCTGACGGACATGAACCTGCCGTACTTGTGGTGCCGGAGGGTGAAGAGAGCGAGCAGGGCGGCGGGGACGTGGAAGGAGAGCGAGGAGACGAGGGCCCACAGGAAGACGCCGTACCACATCTCTGCGGGGAGAGCGGCGGTCAGGGCCGGGCCGGGCCCGGAGCCCTCCGAGAGAGCCCCGGGAAGGGCAGGCGGGGCTGGGGGCGGAGAGGCCGTACCTGGGAAGGTGGACAGCGGGCTGGAGTAGGTGGTGCCGTTGCCGACGCGGGGCACCAGGCGGAGGCTGAGGATCTGCTGCAGCAGACCGCCGCCACCCGTCTCGCCGCCCTCCATCCCCTCGGCTGCCTGCCGGCCCGCCCCGCCCGCCGCTTCGACCAATGGCGAGCGCCGCTCACTGACGGGCGGTTTCCCTCGCCAACCAGCAGCGGGCTACCATGGGAACGGCCGCTGGCCGCAAAGCGCGCCGGGAGCGGTGCGGAAGCGGGTAGGCGGCAGTGAGACGCTCTAGCCGCCGCACCGCCTTCTCGTCGTCGTTTCCTCCTCGGCTCGCGGCGCGGGCGTCGGTCCTCCCCGCCAGGGGGCGCTGCGGGCCGGAGGAGGCGACGCTCTGGCGGCGGTGGCGGCCGCGCGTGCGGGAGGCGGCGGTATGTCGGGCTGCGAGGAGGAGGCGGGGGACGGCTACAGCTCGGCGGAGGACGAGGACTACGTGCCTTCGGGTGAGCGGGGCGGCGCGGGGGGATGCGGCGGGGCCGGGGCCGGCCGGAGGGCGCGGGGCTGAGCGGCTGTGCTTGCAGGTGCGGAGTACAGCGAGGAGGACGAGAGCGAGCTGCTGAGGGAGGAGGAGGAGGAGGCGGCCGGCCCGAGGCCCACCCGCAGCGGGAGCGGCTCCCGGCGGGCCGCCCGCAGGTAGGGAACCCGCCTGAGGGAGCGGCCCGTTTCCTTGCGCTTCGTGCCTTCCAGTCGGGCTTTGAGAGGCCGAGAGCCCCGGCCTGAGCCGTGCTGTGCCTGAAGCCCTCAGCGGTGGGGAGTCGGGGGAGGGAGCGCTGGGGTGAGGGGCCACGTTCAGCTGTCAGCCCTGCGCCTTACGCAGCTCTGCCTGTTTGCTTGCTATCTGCTCGCAGGAAGAAGAGGAGAGGCCTCGTGCTCGAGGTCGGTGAGAAAGAGGAAGGAAAAGCTCAGGAAAACAAAGATGAGGAGGATGACTTAAAGCAGTCAGAAAGAGACCGGGAGGAAGAAGAAAAGAAGAAAGAGGATGCACTTTGGGCCAGCTTCCTTAGCGACGTGGGGCAGAAGCCCAAAGCAGCGGCCACACAGGCAGCACGTGCTGACAAGGTAGCAGGGCTTTGCTAAGGGGATGTGGGGCTGAAGCTGGAATGTGTGGGTGGCAGAGGCAGCGCTGCTGTGGAGGGGCTACATTCATTCGTGCCCCGTCTATTCTGTAAGCTTGGAGCCCCTCTATGGACCAGGCAGCTGACTGCCTTCCCACATGGGAGGCCTGCAGTCTGGCAGGGCTGATTCCTAGAGCTGCTCCTCAGCATCCTCTGGTGTCCCATCAACAGCTGGCAGTGTCTCTTCCTGGTCTTGGAGTCGCCTTGTTCACAATGTGTACGAGAAGTGAGGCTGGGGCTGAATTATACCTGTGGACACAACTTTTCCTTGAGGCTTCTTGGGCCTCTGTTGCTGCTCCAGTAATACGGAGTCTGTCTGCATAAGTGTGGAAACAGCCGTTCCAGCTATTCCTCTCTTGCTGGAATTAGTAATTTTTTTCCAATGAATCGATCAAAAGAATTTTTTGTAACACAAGTCTTGACTCTTGAACTGGTGACATATGGCTGCAATTCTCCTTGCTTCTATCTACAACTGGAAAGCTGGAGGGTGAATATAGCTGTGTAACCTTTGCTTGCAGCTTTTAGGAGGAGCATCCTTTCATCTGAAGCCTCGTGCTTCTCCCCACCTCAGGTCTTACTGGTGAATGGTGAGTGGTTGTAAGTAGATCAGAGAGAAGGAAAGTTGGCTTCTGAGCAACACGGGTTGTTAGAATGTGGTTGTCTTTAGAAGTTCTTCTGTAGTCTGGAGCCACTTATGGGGATGCAGTTCCTCAGATCTTCTTGGAAACTTTTAGAGTTGGGGGTGCTTTTTGAAGATCTCTGTAGCATGGGGTTGGTTTTGAGCAAGAATTGAAGTTTTTGTTTTGACTGTGGAATGGGGTCTGAGATTTGTGTATGCCGTTAAAAGCCATAGTAACTACAGTGCAGTTGTTCCTGGATAAATAACCTTAACAAATAGCTTAAGAAAACTATTTCCTTCTCAAATTAAGACCGATTATTGACAAATAATTTAGTGTCTTGCCAGTTCTGTCTGCAGATCAGCTATATTTTGCTACTGATGGATTGTGTTTTTGTATATTCCTGGGCAAAAATAAATGTATTTCTGTTTAATCCACCCTGACAACTTTACTTCTTTGGCTGTGCTTGAATTGAGAAAACTGAGACTTCAGGCTTTTTCTTGCTCTCTGAACCACAGCACTGTATCCTTGCTAGTTCCTATATGTAATTACAGTTTCTCTTCTTGTTTTGGCTCTGAACTGTGACTTATAATGAGAAGTTGAGAATGAGATGGGGGGTTATGTGCTTTGACCAATCAGACTAAATTACAGCAATACCTGAAGTTTGTATTGGGTCCTTGGCCATTCAGAAGTGGAATTTGGCTTGAGTGTAGAAATGCATTGTTGTGCTTTCTCCTTCATATATTTCACAGGCTGGAGAAGAGAAGAGCGTGAACAAGCTTCAGGGGAAACCAAAAGAGTCTGAGAAGCCAAAAGATTCAGGAAAAGTCACAATCACCAAAGTGTTCGACTTTGCTGGTGAGGAAGTCAGGTGAGTTGGCAGTTCAGAGGCTTCTGCTGCAGGTTCTGTGCAGAGCACATGCTGTCCTGCTGCTGACAGGCTGATGCATGTGAAGCAGGGTGTCTGTTCTTGTTTGTTCCTTTACACTTTTAATCGTGAGCACAGAAGGACCTCAAGGAAAATGAGCCAGGATTTTTTGTTGAGGGCTGCAGAGTATCCTTATGTGCAGACCCCAGCCTTTCATCACCTTCAGAAGTTCACCTGTAAATTCACTTAGGCTTCCCCAGATTGATAAAGTATGAAGTGATGGCACTGCCAGGGCTGAGGCAAGGAGAGAAATGAAATCGCCACTGAGCGATTACAGTCACACGTTTTATTCTTTCAGCATAGTCCAAATTGTGTGCTGGTGGCGGGATATCTGCTGGCACTTTCCCAAGTGACATTTACAATCCTGTACAGAGATGTGCAGATTGTAAGAAGTGTTTCACTGGGCTAATGGTTAGTCACTTCCTACTCTAACAGCTGAGTGGAGGTGATGGGCTAAGTTAAATCACCCTGTAGGCTGTTTGGCTTGCAAAAGTCCGCTTTGGATGAGCTGCAGAAAGGGACAGGTATGTTATAAAGTTTTAAGACCAAAACTGAGGAGGGCCTGGGTGAGCCCCTTTGGAATCTGATAAGCTGTGTCTGACACCAGAGGGCAGCAGTTCCCAGCAATAACACCTGAACTGCCCAAATCTGCAGGAGGAGGCGGGGAGCTGGAGCTTGCATTGCTCTTACTTTTCGTGCCAGTGCTGCTGCCTGAAAAATGTGGGGAAAGCCATGAGTCCTGGTAGAGGCTTTCCCATTTCCCTACACAATCTGAACTGTAGGAATACCCTTTGTTCCTGATAAGATGGGAAAGAATTGTACCACTGCTGCTCTTCTGAGAGAATCTGCCATCCCCTTTTTGCAAGGGAGAGATGAAGCTTTTTTTCATGGACAGATAACAACCTGTGGTAGAATTACAGACAAAAACTTTATGCATAGTCCTCAGCATCCAGCTTGTTGTTTGTCCCCACTTCTTCTGAAGTGTGCAGTAAAACAGTTTGGTTCGAATGTATTGTCCCATTGGGTGAGAACAGGGGAAGCCTCTAGAGTTGCAGGCTCACACAAAAGCCTCGTTGGGTTGTGATGCATCATCAGATGGCACATGGCAGAACTGTGCTCTTGGTGCTCTAGAGTTGCATGAAATCAGAGTGCAGTCTTGTTTGAAGTCTGGACACATCCATCTGTGTGGTGTAGATGAGTGCTGCGTCCTAATGTGAGTATAGAAGGGAAGGCATTGATTTACAGGAAAACTTGCCATGTAGGCTTACTTCAGAGCACTTGCAGAAAGGAATTTTGTGTGCACTGGAGCTTTGAAGCTGAACTGAACTTCTGAGCTGTTTAGAGCTTGCAAAATGTCTGCCTCTCAGCTTCTGGTTTACCTGCCTCTGTCAAAAGAAGTCTCAGATAATTGTTGTTTCTATAGAGTGCCAGCATTACTCAGATGTTGCTCTAATTCTGAATTTTGTGCGGTGGTTGCAGATTACAGATGAACCACTGTAGCTTTTGGTTTTTTTTGTTTTACTTGGAGGGCTCAGGAAAGCTTTCTGTCCTTCCAGAAATGGTGTACTTATGTGAACAGAACTTGGTCAGGGCTCCTAAGATGCCGAGTTTGTGCTTCTGGCATCACCATCTTCTCTCTCATTTTTTAATAGTTGTAGTAAGGACTTTCCAAGTTAGAGAGAGGAGTGCTTTTCTGTAGCATTAGCTTTTCTAGTGTCTTTTACTCAATATTGATTATTTCTCCTGGGGATCTGCAAAGGCACAGATGTAAGTTTCTACTAAATGTTGATCAATTAGGCAAAAGCTGGACCTTGGGCTACACTGAGACTGTAAACCTGTAAGCCACTGCTAAAGTACTTATTTACAACAGCCTTTGTATCAACAGGATACAGAGCCAGCAACAGAAGGCTGCAGTGAGATCTGGAGGACTGACTGGTCTCTGTTGCTGCTGGAATTTAGCACACTGCTTTCTTTAGCTCTTTGATAGCAGAAAAATCCTTCCGTGTTTTCCATCCTTTTGATTTTTATGGCTGACAAATAGCATTCAAAGCTGAAGATTCTGCAGCGTTTGCTACACCTTGCACTTCAGAGTATCTGATGTGGGTTGCTGTGTGTAGGATATACAGAACCATCCCTGCTCCCAGCTGCTGCTGCTTGTAGTTGCAATAGGTGAGGGCCAGAGGGCTTTTTCTTTTGAATAGCAGGAGGTCGTCTTTGACCCTAATGGCTGCAAACGCTCTGAATACCAAATGCTGACTTCCTTGCCTGGGGAAGCAGCTGGCAAGTCGGTGCTTACAAAAGCCAGCACACGGTAGTTGTGTGTGTTTTTGGACTGAAAGAGCTGCAATGAGAGAGCTGTCTCTGTTGCTTTCCTTTCTAAATGACTTGAGGCTGCTTTAGAGTGTTGCTCTTCTGAAAGCTTGAGAAGAATTTAGATCAGTATTTAGGCACTGAGGGATTCAGGGCACAAATTTCAAC